AGTTCAGAGTTGTCCTTCTCCTAGACTGGCTACCAACCAAAGCTGAACCCAGTATTTTTCTACTATTTAATCTATAACTGAGGGAAGAACAGGTGGATATCTTTCCCAAGGATATTTGTGAGTAAGTGAATGCAACAAACTCAAACCATTATCCTTTACACCACTTGCACATCCAGTATATATATATATATATATATGAGTTTGGTTAAAGGTGAATGAATATTCTTTGTTCAGGAATTTTTGTTTAATTTTTCAAATTTTATTTTAAACCATTTTCCTAGTTTTTGTTGAAAATTTGAATATAAATTGTCTTATGTATGCAGTTTCAACTTTTATATACCATCATCAGAGTTTTTGTTTTGGATTATTATTGTAGGCAATAGGTCCCTTAAAAATTGATGATGTCAAGATAAATACAGATAATCATTCTAAATTCTTGGACAAGACATTATTTGATTGCTGCTCATGATCAAAATTATTTAAGCTAAACAGTGCTTATTGACATTCTAGAAAGTTAATTCCTGACAACCTTAGCAAAAACTTCTCTAATTAATGAAATGGTCCCAGCCGCTGCAAATAATAATCTTATAGAAAACTTGCAGTCCATCATTAATGGTAATGTTAATATAAGTTATTTCCTTATAAGGAAACATTGGCATTCATTAACTAAACAGTACTAATTTCAATTGTAATTTTTTTTAAAAATTCTCTTAAAACAATTTTTCAGGAAAATAGGTTTCCCAAATCCAGTAACTGTTATTGCTCTTTCCAGTACTGATATGGATTTCCTTTCTAAACTTTTATTTGAACTCATGTGGAATGTCACATCTTTATAAAGTCATCACTTTTTTCTTCACGTTACATGATATACATTTCAGATGTTGCTGTTGTCAAAAGTCCTCAAGTAATATTGTTTCTGTTATTTGGTACAGTTCTTTGTGATTCTGTAGTGCAAATCCACAATGTTTGAAGGAGGATGATCTTTGTCAAGACCCAAAGGCTTCACTCACTCAAAGTCTTAGAATGCAATTGTATACAATTGAGAGTTAAGATATTTCTGAACAGGTTTTGTGCCATGCATGATATCCATATGAAAAAGAAATACACTGTAGTTCATGAAACTTTAAAACAATACAAGTTCATTTACTTTAAAACAATACAAAAATATCCCATTTTAAGGTATTTTTAAAGAAATGTAGATTGGCTCCAAACTTTCTCCCTGTAGGGTACCTTTTTTAGATCTAGAAATTTTTTGCTCAGAAAGACGAAAAACTTACATCTAAATGGCAATATTCTCACATGCAGAACTCTCCTCCAGCCAAATGCTTCCAAGCCAACTTTGATCTTCAAAAATCTAAATGCAATGTCAGTCGTTATATTCTTAATTTCTATTCTTATTCTCTCCCCTTAATAGTAGTTTTTCTCATATTTCCTAACACTCAGTAACCTCTTGCATCCTAGTTGCCTTATTGCCTTGCTTGGAGTGAAATGATTAAAAAAAAATGCTAATTTTTTCTAATTTCTAACAAGTTAGAAAATTAGAAAAATTCAGGATACTTTTGAATTTTGATGAGAGAACATTTAAAGCCAATAAATCTTTAAATGTAGAAAAAATATCCTTGTTTAGACATTTTAAATATTTTCTTTCTCCATTTCTTCCTTCCTGGGATTAACTTAGCTGATAACAATTTGGTGGAGACACAGCCAGACTTTGGAAAACCAATGTAAAACTTAATGCAAGACTTTTGACTGGACATTTAAAAAAGTATGTGATCGGAATATGAGGTGGAGTAAAGAAATCTAATTCAGTATTTATAATGTAAAATTATTTTTGTACAATAAAAGTGATGAGACGACAAATTTGTAGAAATATTCTCCTGAACAGCGACATATAAAGATATAAGCTTGTAATAAAATCAAATACAGAAATAACTTTTAAGCTGAATAAAAAAAAACCCCAAAATCTAATACTTTATATGATAATGCATCATGTGAAGTGTAACCCTGAAACTGAGAATAATTTCTCAATAATGCAAATATGGTTAGCTTTCTTTGCTCTGAGATGTGACATTTTTCACCATTACGAGAGAGAGTATTTTAGGGAGCTTTGACTTATTATAACTGCAAGGATTACTACAGCAAAGAATCTGAAATCTCCCCTCCACACATTCATCTCTCATGTATCTTTATCACTGTAAATTATCCTGGGACTTGTCTCTGTTCCACTGAGATAACTTTCTTCTTGATGTGGATATACATATTGCAGATGCTCACATTCTTAGATATGTAAAAGATATGCTGTCAAGTGTTCTCATGAAATCAACTATTATTCTTAGAATGGTGAATCCATAACATCACGGAAGTCTATACTTGGTGGGAAGATTTTTTTTTGGTATATCTATTTTGAGTTGGAAATGTTTGTGCTTGAAATCTTCCTTAAGTGTCATGTTCCTTCAGGATATAACTGATCTTACCTCTTTGCAAAAACCTTTTTTCTTTTTCTAAATCTGTAAACTGTACAATTGTCATGACTGTTCTTGGTAAAAATAATGGGATGGTTTGCTTTTATCTTTGTAGGTTTCAATTCAAAGTTGTTGTTCTATGAGATGAGTTCTTAAAGAAGGCTACAGAACTCGGTCTGCCTTTCTATTTAACCCATAGTTGAGTGGTCAGAATAGGGAAAGAATGGATTCATGCCTGTCTTTAATGTGTGCAAAGTAAATACAGTTTTAACTGGAACTTGAAGAACTCATCTGATTCAGTTTTCCATGATGTGAATAAGATTTCAAACAATTGTGAAATATTTGTCAAGGATATGAGAAAAACTTTTTTTTCTAAAAATATTAAAATTAAGTAAAAATCGTGAATTTTGTTTGAAAACATCTGGCTAATAAAAAATAGCCTAATTAATCTGTGTGGAGTACAAAATATTATCATTGCTTAAAAATAGATATTTTAAGAGTACATCCTGAGATGTATAATTAGTGTATAAATAGATTAAAGCAAAATGTGAAGAAGAGCTAAGGAAAGTAAAGAGAAAGAGAGGAAATTAAAATGAAGAAAAAAGGGAAGAAATTAAAAAGAAAAGAAAAAGGGAAGAAATTAAAAAGAAGAGAAAAAGGGAAGAAATTAAAAAGAAGAGAAAAATGGAGGAAATTAAAAAGAGAAAAAGAGAAGAAAGTGAAAAAGAGAAGAAAGTAACGAAGAAGAGAGAAAGAAAAGGGAAAAAGAAGAAAAAAATTATTACTCACCATAAAGAAGTAAATCAAATAATGTTACCAAAAACAAACAACAATACTAAGAATACTTGAGACCATTTATATTAAATTTGAGCAGAAGGAATGATTACTAGTCAAAATGTAATCCATCTGCTGATTTTTTGGTAGTATTTTTTCTTTACCCCTTTTTTCAGTCATTTTTAACATAGTCCAATACAAATCACAAATTGCTTTCAATAAATAAAAAAAGTATAATCTAATAATTCCTTCCTTTTTTTTTCACATTGTCTCCAGACCACAACTCAACAGGCATTGAGTTGGATTTGGTCAAGATCTAAAATAAACAAAGTTAAATAAAACCATGCTCTCAATACAATGCTACTTCTGACATGAAAAACATCCCTTTACCTTCCACTCTACATCAGTAATAACAGTTGCTACTAGTGTGTTCTGTATTGGTTAACAATCAAAAGCAAACTCTTTTAACACAATGTTGAAAATCTCAATTGCAATTATAAAAAGAAATAACAAAGGACTAACACATCTGCAAAAACAATACTCTGTCTGATGACAAAAGCAGCTGGTGGCACCAGGGGTGGCAGTACAACCTTAGCCACTGAAACTGTGTTACCTCCCCTGCTTGGCAGCTGACAAGTGCAGGGTATCACATGTGCTTTCACATGTTGTATGTAGAAAAAAAAATTGTGACTAATAAGAGTTAGAATTTTTAAAACAAAAAAATTAAAATGAAATATCAAACTTACATATATTGAATTTGGAAATTTTTGTGTCAACAAGAAAATAAATAACATCTGAAATGCAATATTTGTATTTTATTACATTATAAAATAAGAAAATTTCAGGATACATTTGAATTTTGATGAGATGATGTTTAAGGGCAATAAATCCTTAGAAGTAGGAAAATATCTCTGTTTACACTTTTTGAATATTTTTTTCCACATTCTTTCCTTCCTTCCTGGGAATAACTTAGGTGGTTACAATTTGGTGGAGACACAGCCAGACTTTGGAAAACCAATGTAAAACCTATTGCAAGACTTTTAACTGGACATTTAAAAAAGTATGTGATCAGAATATGAGGTGAAGTAAAGAAATCTAATTCAGTATTTAAAATGAGAAAATTTTTTCTACATTAAAAGTGATGATACCATAAATTTGTAAAAAATTCTCCTGAACAATGACATATAAAGATATAAGCTAGTAATAAAATCAAACAAAAAATATTTTCTTTTTAGTCATTTTGTATATACTTCCATATCTATCCTCAATTGAGCCCTGAAAAGTGAGGAGTGATAACCAGTTAACACATTTTCATTTCTTTTTCAATATATTTTTTATATACCACTTTATGATGAGTAATATTCTGTTTTGCTTATTGTTACTCTTCCTTTGTTTTCTTATATTTGCATATGTTAATATATACTTTTATAATGTCTGCTTTTTAAAACCATGAAAAATAGTTTGCTCAAAGCTATAACATTTTAGTTCCCTTCAATGTATTCTCTTTGGGATCTCTCACAATTATTCGATGTCCTTTCAAGTTTTCAAAAACTTCTTTTGGGATCTTCATCAGCAGCTTTGTAAACATTATACTTAATCTTATCCACAGTTTCTTTTTACACTAGTGTTCACCCAATACAATGTCCAAGAGCCACTCAAAGTAGAGGTTTACTGAATGACATTATTTTATGGAGCTAAAAATCATAGATTATGAGGATATGTAGAATATGTAATCGTTGACCCTGGACTTGAAGTTAAGATTGTTTAGGTCAGGGAAAAAAAGGAGAAAAAAAAAAAAAAAGAAGAAAGGATAAAAGAAAAAGGGGATGAAAGTAAAAAGAAAAGAAGAAAGAAATCATAGCAGAAAACAGAGAGAAGAAAATAGAATTGAGAAAGAAAAAAGGTGTGAAAATGAAGAAATAGAGAGGAGAGAAAAATGAAGAGAAGAGAGTGAAAGAAAAAGTCGAAAAGGTGAGGAAGAATATGACCAAGAGATAAACTAAAATGGAAAAGGAAAGTTTGTGAGAAAAGGAAACAAAAGTAAAAATGAAGAGAAAAAAGGGGAAAAAGAAAGAGAAAAAAGGGGGAAAAGAAAGAGAAAAAAGGGGGAAAAGAAAGAGAAAAAAGGGGGAAAAGAAAGAAAAAAGGGGAAAAAGAAAGAAAAAAAGGGGAAAAAGAAGAGAAAAAAGGGGAAAAAGAAAGAGAAAAAAAGAAAAGAGAAAAAGGGGAAAAAGAAGAGAGAAAAAGGGGAAAAAGAAGAGAGAAAAAGGGGAAAAAGAAGAGAAAAAAGGGGAAAAAGAAGAGAGAAAAAAGGGGAAAAAGAAGAGAAGAAAGGGGAAAAAGAAGAGAAGAAAGGGGAAAAAGAAGAGAGAAAGACAAGAAAGTGACAAAGAAGAGAGAAAGAGAAGAAAGTGACAAAGAAGAGAGAAAGAGAAGAAAGTGACAAAGAAGGGAGAAAGCCAGGAATAAGAAAGTTAAAGCGAGAAAAGGACTGAGAGTGAAAGAAATGGAGAGAGAAAAAGAGATAAGTGAGAAGAGGTAGGCAAGACAAAGAGAAAAGCGTGGCGATAAAAGAAAAAAAATGAGAAGAGACAGGAGAGACAAAAACAGAAATGAGAAATGACAAGTGAGAGGAAAAAGTGAGAAGAGAAAGAAGAGGAAAAAGTGAGAAGAGAAAGGAGAGGAAAAAGTGAGAAGAGAAAGAAGAGGAAAAAGTGAAAAGAGAAAGAAGAGGAAAAAGTGAAAAGAGAAAGAAGAGGAAAAAGTGAAAAGAGACAGGAGATGGACAGAAAAATATGAGAAGATACAAGATAGAGAAAGAAAAAAATGTGAGAATTGACAAGAGAGCCAAAGTCAAACTGTTGGGGGTGGGAAACAAGAGTAAAAGAAGCATTGAGTTGAATAAACAGAATCCAATGCCCTTAATCCATTTATCTGCAGACTCTGGAATGGACTTTAAATCCAACACAAATCTCAGTAAAACTAAAGTTAAAAGAAATTAATGATCAAATAAATATATATCTAAATCCACCTCTGGCTATAGAAAAAGTTTTTACATACGTAGACATCATTTCTGAAAGTTACATTTAATGAGACAAGCCTTAAAAGAGCAAGACCTGTTGTAAAGTTTTGCTAAAATATTACAAATAGAAGAGAAATGCTAAAATCCAAAGAACAAGGGTTTCCATTTTTTTTTTTTTTTACTTTTTGACACTGAATTGATCTGAAAATGTTTAAAGAATTGTTTGTGGCTCCAAACTTGAACAGACGTCAGATTTAATCTGTTTACAAATCCAACATATACCATGGTAAAAACTAAATTTGGCAAACTGCATTCTTTATAGCGCAAGAGTTTATTCAGAGAACATGCTTTACTGGATTCTATAGCAGTCTAGTTATTTAGGAAAAAAAATTTAAAGAAAAAAAATTTAAGTAAAAGAAAAAAAAAATACATTGTTCAGGAAAATGTAATTCCTGCATTCTGTCCTGACACTAGAATCAGGAATACCGAGATTTTCAAACATTATGCAAATAAATTCAAATATCTATGAAGTCTAACACAATATTAATGACTATTTACGTAAAATGGATACATCTGTATATCACAAAATATAAAGCATATAGACACACACAAATACATATATACCTACACACATATCATACACATTTTGCATACATATATTTATACGTCTGATACATGCATATATATATATATATATATATATATATATATATATACAAATATATATATATATATATATATTACATTACAAACAGGCAAACACAAACACTATATATATATATATATATTATATGCAAACAACTGCACATACATGTATACATTACACACAAATACACACATCTATTACATGTATACAAATATATTAGATGCATAAATGTTACAAGCATACACACACACAAACATAATACACACACATACATATATATATATATATATATATATATATATATATATTTAAGCATTCATGTACATATATTATATGCATGCACACACAAATACATATATTACATGCACACGCACCCACATACATAGAGGGAGAAAGAGAGAAATACAAACCAATACTGCTCCAAAAGTAATGTCTCCTATTTTATTTTGTTGGTCTATCTTCTCAGTGCAAATGGTGGTGATATGGCAGGAGAGTCTGAATCTTCTTACCATTAGCATATCATACTTTGACTTGATAAAGATAGCAGCCGTGTGGCAGTGTTGCTAAATACTGTCTGACATGAAAGTGTCTACAGAGAAGTGTTATAACATTTAATTCCTCCATGCAGAAAAAAAAAACTGTGCCAACCGACATTCATCACTGCTTGCTGAACATATAGACCAAACAGTGGATATGGACACAGTTAGGCAGTAGCTAATGTGTTTCAACCATGGGTGTGGTGTAAGCCATATTCAGGCCAGTGAAATAGGGTCTACATGGTCAACATTTTCTTGACAATATTATCTCAGCAGAGACAAAGTAGAAAAACAGTGTTTTCTGGCTGAAAACTTGCTTTATCAAATATTGTTATAACAAGAGAGAGCTAGAGAAGTAAGATTTATTCTCCCATTTGCATTTCCCACTCTAATGAGAATTATTATACTTGTGACATAATAACACCATACTTTATAGATGGAACAGAATATCCGAATGGAAAAGGAATAACAAACATACTTTGTTCTCAGTGAGACTTTTATACTACAAAGACATACACAAAACTATGTATATTGCTTTTTGAATTTGTAGGTCTGATGAATTGGATCATGATTACAATTCCAATGTAATAAATTATAACCATGGAATATTAGTGTTTGAACCTTTTATATTATAGTCTTACTCTGTCCTAGACATTGCGTTCTACCTGGATTTTATCCTTCTGTAAAATTTTGTTTGCAAAAGGATTTCGCCATTTTATATCATTAACTTTTTGTATGAATGATTCATTGTAATATATATATAAATTTATTGGCCAGAGTTGAATTAGATCAGAAAACACTAGAATGAAAAAGTGCTCAATACACATATAATAAAAATAAATAATAAAATAATAATAAATAATATATATATATATATATATATATATAAATAAAGAACATATTTTTATTCCAATATTTTTATTGTTTCAAACATTATAACTTAAAGGATATTTGTATTTGAAATAGATGCCCCATAAACTCTGTGTCTTATATCTATCAGCCTCCATATTTGAGAAATAATTCTGGATATGAAACTGAGCAGATATGGATTTTTGAGAAAAATATCTTGGTGAGGAGGTGTGACTTGCTGTACAATGACGCTCTTCATAGTCAAGTGGTAAAGCACATAGTAAATCAAATGGTGGTTTCTCCTACAAAGGGGGACACAGGATTGATTCCTGTTGGGTAGCATACTGACTTTATAAAGATTTTATGAATATGTAGGCTGATAGATGTAATAAACACTATTTAAAGTAAAAATAAAAACTGGGTATCTATTTCAAATACAAGTATTTTTAACATTGATATATATATATATATATATATATATATATATATATATATATATATATATATATATATATTTATATTGTGTATTTGGGCAGCAATCACTCTTTTAGACAAGTTTCCTTAAAAACAGCTGACAAGGTATTGCAGTTAAATTTTTATTTAATTTTCATCAATTTTCTTCTTCCCTGGACATAAATTATGTAGAAATTATCCAAATGTTTCATATGTCTGAGTGCTTTCAATTATTTTTCAAACACAGCATGCACATTGTGGCCATGTTCATAGATATTATTCAGTGTTAGCTTTTTCTTTTTTATTAATAATGCTTACACTATTTTTATTCCTTTCTTACATGTGGATAAGGCTATTGTATTTGCATTATCAATGAGTATATTGTGGACAGAGTTTTCTCGGTCTTCATGTGCACTGAAATGAGACTTCACTGAGCTATGGTCAGAGAGATGTAATGTGAGTCTTCTTGTCAGGCATATATCTGTGAATAGATAAATAAAAATTTCAATAACTTATCTTCCATATAGGTCATGTTTCGTAATGACAGCAAACATTTGTTGCCACTTTTGTGATGCCAACAAATACTCGTTGTCACTTTTGTAATGCTCATTGTAGTAGAGACGTTTAAATCACAAATATAACTGTAATACACTGTTGAACAATTCAGGTGTCAGATGCCTTCAAATAACACTCACACTAATAGTACTTGCTTGAATAGTAATCCGTATAATGATCAGTATAGAGAATAGTATAGTGCATAGAGTAGAGAATAGTGGTCTGTATAGAAATAGGATAGAATAGAAATAACGATCCAAATAGTAAGAGATGATAGACTAGAAATGCAGATCAATTAGGCACACACTACCTCCCATATATGCATTTCCTCTATGGTCATGTGGTCTACTTAATTCAATAATGGGATTACCTGTGTTTGCTCACTGGTGATCTATGTTCAAACTCAAGTTTCGGTAGAAACACTTTATTCCTATATAACAATATGTCAGAATAATATCAATCTAGTCATTGAATATTTTATTTCTCTATTTACTATTAATGCTCTATTGCTTAATATTGATAACTTTATTTATAACATCTACTCATCTTAAATGTGTTATATCCTCCAATAAAATTCTGGTCAATATGTTTTGATGAGATGTAAAATATCTATATTATTATTAGTCTTATGCACATATTGTATCCAACAAGAGCTTAATTTTATTTTCTCAGCCTCTTAATTACTCAATAATAAATTGATTAATTTGCTCTTTTTATATGAGCATGTACCAGTGCCCAGGACATTGATTTAAAAAACCAATTAAAATAATCTCTTTGCCACATCTGCTATTTTTTCTATAGCTATTTATATAAGTAAACATTTGGATTTTTCTGTTAATTCACCCCAAAATAAAAAGAATTTACATTTACTAAAATTCACACCAAATTCTCCCAGAGCAATTGCACTTCAGTTTGGTTGACCTTTGCGATCTCCCCAAATGTGGGCAACTCGGGTGCACTATTTTTAAGTGTCGGAAGTCTACATTTGTGCTCACCCCAATAAACCAAACAAAAACAAATTTTTAATATTATTTCTAAATTGTAAAAATTTCCTTTAAGTACCTCAAATATAATCTGCACTTATGAAATATGGATAACTCTCTGATTTTTGGTAATTTTTCATTCTGAGGGTTGGAGTTGTTGAGGAGCAAGCTAAACAAATTTTGATTTAAAATTTATAATTTTAAAAGAGAGCCAAAAATTTAATAAAAATAACAAACAAACCTTGATTTAAAATTTCTAATTTCCCAGGATGAATTAATATTTGTGCTAAGTAACTTTACATTATTTGGGGGGGGAATTAGCAGAAAAGATCCAAACATTTTTTTTTATTATTTACTGGCCATTATTAAACATTAATAATTACAGCTCAAAAGGAACATTATCTATACTCAGAGATCGATAAACAAAGAACTCTTTACACCTATAATAATTTAAAAGTTTTTGTGAGATTATTTTAATTTATATTCCAATATTAAATTTAATAGAAAACTATCAGTAAAATATACTATGGAGAACTTTGAGAAGAGTCATTCATATCCCAAATTTTGTTCAGACAACTGATCACTTTTGTGAATTATTCAGAAATTTTTAAACTGTTGGCTATATACGACTGCTTTCTCAGATCGATTCTTAAAAATGGCTTTGAGAGAGTGACGTGTATGCCTCTGAGAACAGATCTTTTTTAAACCTCAAAGAAAGGCATTACAGAAACACAAATAACTGTACCAAATAACAAAAGCCAACATCACTTGAGTACTTTTAACAACAACTAAAGTGTATATCACATATTACCCAAAGAGAAAATAATGACATAATGAAGATGTTGACGT